CAGAATCTCTTACTTGATTTTGGCGTGTTTCAAACACAGATTTGAATGCAGCGATTCGAAGGATTAATCAACATATGCAGATCCCCATCATTTATAATTTATGTTGCGTGGGTGTTGAAATCCTGATCTTTTAATGATTAATAGTGCAGCTTACACTGAATGCATTAATGCAGGCTAAACAAGCAATGACAGAAGACATCTTTAAGAAACCCACCACATCCCGAATAACCAACCTCAACTTCTTCCGTCATCTTTATATTTGACATACTGTTATCTCAGTGCTTCTGTGTTATTTGACTGTTTACAACTTCATAACTAACTCAAAAGACTAAAGACTGAATCTCTTTCTTGATTTTGGCGTGTTTCAAACACAGATCTGAATGCAGCGATTCGAAGGATTAATCCACATATGCAGATCACCATCATTTATAATTTATGTTGCGTGGGTGTTGAAATCCCGATCTTTTAATGATTAATAGCGCAGCTTACACTAAATGCGTTAATGCAGGCTAAACACAGCAATGACAGAAGACATCATTAAGAAACCCACCACATCCCGAATAACCAACCACAACTTCTTATTTGACAGGAAGGCCTACATGCTTTCATAAATATGATTTGAATGACGTGAGAGGCGATCACTCTGTGATTGTTACAAATTTAGAAATAATCTAAGAAAAAATGTATTAATCCGCGGGTCACATATGTTCCGATCAACCTCCGTTACATCCTTAGAGAATAGTGTAAAACAGCTGTGTGTGTATGCAATATCCTGTCGGAACATGCGGCGAAAAGTCCTACATGATGGTAATAGTTTGATTGCGATGTTTACATGTCTGTACTGCACTTTAATAATCCGACTTAAGTAGGAATACTCCATGTCTTAACTCCATTTCTGTTTAGTTTAATTATGACTTTAGTCGGATTAAAATCATCAAAAATCGCTGTTTACATGGTCGACTCTCAATAAGACTCGTCTTAATCGCATTAATATCGCGAGTATTGGTGTCAATGTAGGCGTACTCATTGTTGCAAGCACAATGTGTCCTGTGTAGCCAGAGGAGTTTACACATCTCAGCATTTTCTGTCTTGCTTTTAGGGCTCTAATGAGGAAATTCACTAGCACCTTTATGAGTTGACCAGAGTGGTGTTAAACTCTAGCGGGGCTAGCAGAAATTCTTGTCCATAAAAAAAAAGGAGCTAAAGGGATTCATTATAAAGATTTTTACAAACACATCAAAGGTCCTAGGTCCCGGGAATCTCGTAGTAACTCTCTATTAATGTGCCTACAGTTGCAGCGTTGCTGTTTACTCAGGGAAACCCTATTAGAGTATGCAGAAGAAATTCCACCTTTGGCTCTCGGTTTAGTTTGCTTCAGTTTTTCCATACAACATGTCCCTTTCCCTTTCCTGCAGACTCCCACCCATCACTATCTTGTTCAGATCAGGCTGCCTTTCTGGATAAGTGCAGCAGCTGCAAATAGGAGTTCTGTGCTCCAGATTGGCAAGAGTACGAGCAATGGAAAAAAAGCAAACCCTTTCACGGGTTCCCCCCACAGTATTGGGGGGCATAGGGCCAAGGGGAGGCCCAGGCCAAGTATAACAAACAAAAAGGCTTTCCCCAGCTCTCCCAGGCAGCCCATTCCACTGTTTGACAATGGGTTACCATGGTCCTTGTTTTGCAAATCATAACACTGTCAACATGTCCAAGAAATTCTGGAGCGGATTGGTTTTCTTTTCCTTATTTTATTTGCAAGGTCAAAAAAGCACCCATTTCCTTGTCAGATACACAGCGTAAGGAAACCCCTGCATGTGACATAATGAACCACAAGAGAAAATTGGACTCCCTGAATGCCCAAGCTGCCTTAAAAAAGTGACACTGGAATCTTTCGCCTTCCTTTGCCAGTATTGTGCCACATCGAGGTTTGGCCACTTTCAAAGTCATTACAACATGACTATGGATTTTTGACACAATTCAAAACAAAACTGTGTCTATATAATTCATTCTAGCTAATTCCAGTTTCACTCGGAGTAATGGAAAGTATATGCTCCAACACCAGGGGTAAAAATGAAATCTTTAATTCATATTTCACTGTAGACCTTCATTGAGTAGGTTTACATGGACACCAATAATCCAATTTTAATATGATTAAGTCAATACTCTGATTAATTTTTGATCAATTTAATCTGATTAAGGTCATAATCGAACTAAACAGAAACCAAATTAGGACATGTGGAGTATGGCGATTTTAGTTGCATTATTGAAGTGCAATGTAGACATGTAAACACTCCGATCAAACTATTATAGTCGTGTAGGATTTTCGCTGCATTTTGTGACAGGATATACCATACATAGATGTTTGAAACTATTCTCTGCACCTAAAGAGTCAGTAAAGGATCACAGACACCCGCATCTTGAAATGCAGAGTTTTTTTTTCCATACGGCATGCAGTGTCAAACTCCGTTAAAACAACACTCTTCCAGCAGCTCATACTCACATTCAATATCTCGTTTGTCACGGTGGGCATGCATGAAATGTTCCTGAATGAAAGTGAAAGAGCCAAACTGCAGTCAAAGTCGACAAATTAAAAATGAAACATCCAAAATTACATGAAACCACATGTTAAGAAAGACAATGAAATGGTCGTGACAGTTCACTCTTTCTGCTACTGTCTGAAAGCAGGTTCTTGGTGACATTTTAAGTGGTTCATTAGTATGTTGTCATCCAAAGAATGTGACAGCATTGCTGTTCACCACGCTTGAAACATTCCTACAGTCACATATTTTTGCGAATGATTTGAAAGCATGTGTCACTTCATATACACATGCCCTGACAGATACTTTTGAAAAGCATTTTCTAACTATCCCAACCAGTATGAGTATCACTATAAAAACATCTCTGTCTTCAACATATTGTTTATTATGAAATCCTACAGACTTCACTGCAAAAAAAAAACAAACAAAAAAACTCATTATACAGAGATACAATCTTATTTCTAGCCAAAAAGCTTTTTGATCTTGATTTAAGGACACAATACTATGCAAGATCAGCCTGTGAAAGATTATTCTAATACTCTTTTTTAAAGCTAGTTAGATTATTTACCAGCTTAGCTACAATCAGAGACCATTTAAGACCAGCCTTGTATCTTGAAGACATACTTTTAGCTGTAGTAACTTGTTTTAAGTTTTCCCATTAATAAAATGTTAAATTTTGTACTTGTTCTTTAGAGACAAAATGCATGCCGTTATATTTTGTATCAATAAGCTTCATTACTCTAAGAAGCAACTAGCATATAATATTGCATTGAAATATTGCATATAATATAGCATTAATATTGCATCTCATTTATAATAATACATTGTGGGTATTACGCCAACCTGATTTTAACAAGTAGGATTAAAATCCATGTTGATCCTGGAACAACATTCCAATCAGCCAATTAGAATTAAGGGATATGTTTACTGTTTATGTTAAGTTTAGGGTTATGGTTAGGTTTATGCACTTCTACAAGAACGTTAAGCAGTTATTATTAGGCTCTAATGTGGGGAATAATTTACAGTTATGGTTTAGGGGTAGGGAATAATTATAGATTACATTTTCGAACAAAAATTTTGTTTCAGGATCAACATAGATGTTAATCCAGGAACGCATCGTACTGGGCAAAATCATGATATAATTCATACAATAGTATTTAAATGATAGTTTAAATGCTTTGACTCATTTTAAGACCAATCTAATGACAATTCTTAATTTAAGAGGAATTCTCTTGTATAGTAACTCTAGTTTACATACCAAAATAAGAAAACCAAAATGCTATTAACAGGCTAGTTTTAAGATAATTCGACTAAACACACTTCTTGGAGTAAGTGGTATAATACTTATTTTAGGATAATTCTTTTGATTTACTAAAGCCTAGGTAAGTTTTCTTAGAGTGCTTTTATACTAGCACTTTTGGTCCGCACCCGGGTTCATTTGACGTCAGAGGACGGTACGTTTAGCTAGTGCGAATGTGTCTTCTGCACTTGGGTGCGCACCCATGAACCATACCAGAGTCCGCCTGAGGTGGTCTGGAGTACAGTTCACACAAACTCTGGTCTGGTTCACTTCCTGTATGAATGCAATCTTACCAAATAACAGACGTAAACCACCAACCGTACAACAAACTAATGTTTTCATAATGTTCATTCCTGTGTGTGTGTCTGTGTATCATGTACTGTACCCTGGTGACAAGCGGGACTGAACATTTATAATATTTTTGCGGCAGATGGACGCAAGTCATTTTCTGTGTCCAAAACCAAAAGATTCAGTAAAAGCAGAATGGCTGCGATGTGCGAACGTTTTTCCATTTTGGCACTTTGTTTTCGTGGCCAACACCTAGCAACAGCTATAAACAAAACAGCAGCTCGATGGTGCAAGTGTACCGAGGTTCAGAAGGAAAAAAGACAGTGTGAACACAAACCAACCTAGTAGGTGGCAAGGGGGGGCAATCGAATTTGGGTACGGTCTAGGCAATTGAACCAAGTGTGAACGCACCCATTGTATAGTATAATTTAAGTATAAGTATCTTACTACACTGGCAGTTTTAAAATCTTTCATTTATTGCATTTTTATATATACAGTTGAAGTCAGAATTACTAGCCCTCCAGTATATATTTTTTCTAGATTAATGAGGCAAGTTAGGGTAATTATGCAAGAGAGGATTCTTTATACCCAATCTAAAAAAAATTGCTTAAAGGAGCTAATAATATTGACCTAATTTTTTTTTTTTTATTAAATGTAAATTTTAAATGCTTTTATTCTAGCCGAAATAAAACATAAAATACTTTCTTCAGAAGAAAAATTTTAAAGGAAATACTGTGAAAAATTCCTTGCTTTGTTAAACATCATCTGGGAAATAATTCTAAGGAGGGTAAACAATTTTGACTTCAACTGCATATATATATATATATATATATATATTTTTTTTTTAATTTTAAGATGTAGCAACCTGGTCAACTCACCATCATCAAGATAGGCCTGATCCAGATTCTCCTGCTTGACCGTGACTCGTCCAGGTACATTGGCTCTCGGTTCTTCTGCGGAGGAACTTCTCTGGGGCTCAACTTGGGCAGACGGTGACCTGTCTTTGGCCACTCTCTGGAGGAAAGGCTGCTGCTGGATGACTGTGGGGTAATTCTGAGGGTGTTGGGCCGCTTGGGCTGGTGCTGGGGAACGGTTTGCCCCAGTGGGTTGAGGGCCATGCTGATTATAGCCCTCACAATAAATGATGTGCTGATGTTCAGGAGGTGGTGGTGCAGGGGGATCTCCTCCTCCTCGGAGCAGGTGATGATTGGTTGGAGAAAATTGGATGATTGAGGGATGCTGGTTGGTGGGATGTTGGCTTCCCAGATGAGAGGACTGGGCTGGGGAACCGGTGTGGACCAGAACTGATCGATGGGAGTCTGGTATCATTGTGGCTGCCGTCTGAGAGTAAATGGGACTGCTGGATGAGCTTTTTCCAGTACGGGAGTACATTATGGCAGGGCTCTGCTGTTGAAATCGGTGGTCCGGAGGAGAGACACCCAGGCGGGTCTGCTGACATGGGACAAGGCCAGGGACCAGGCTGTCTGGGGGGATCACCCCACGAGGGCTATAGTACGACTGGGGAGAAACTCCCAGCATCTGTGACAAGGAATAGCCCATTCGTCCAGATTCATATTCATCCACTGGCTCTGTCTTAATAGATGGTACTGAGGACGTACAATAAGAAAGTAATCATGACAGAGCTTTCGAAGAACATTTATCGATTCTGAATCTAGGCTAATAATTGATATCAGGGCAATGACAACATTTTCATTTGTCGTTATGCACACTTAAAACTTTAAAGGTACAGTATTAAATGTGGCCCTGGACTACAAAACCCATAAGAGTTGGTTTTGGGGGTCTTCAATAACAGGCTGATATGCATGCAAGGTAAAAAACACTTAAACTGTCTTAGAACAGTCACCAATCTCATTCCTGGAGGTCCAGTGCCCTGCAGGGTTTAGCTCCAACTTGCCTCAACACACCTGCCTGAGTGTTTCAAGTATACCTAGAAAGACCTTGATTAGCTTGTTAAGGTGTTTGATTAGGGTTGGAGCTAAAATCTGAAGGACACCGGACCTCCAGGAACAAGTTTGGTGATCCCTGCCTTTTAATAGGCGTTTAGTTTTACCTAACGACTCAACGACTAACGACCCAACGACTCCCATATAATGTTCAGCGATAATTTTTTTCCCAAAACACCTCCTTAGGGCAAAGCTAATCTGCAGTGATTGGTCTGATGATCTAGTCTGTTGCGATTGGTTGACTGTGTTCAGCGGAAGATAGAGAGAAATGCCCACCACGACAAGTAGCACACAGAGTATGTGAGAGCCCAATGCAGGAATGCAATAAAGCAATGCGGTCAAACACCAGAATATTACTCTACTCTTAAACCTAACCCCAAGTAATAACAACGACACACATTCAGTATAAATCCACACAGTGGCAAAAGTTTAACTATTTTGAAAATTGACCACGCCGCACGTGTGAGGAACAGCTGATGGTGGCCATAGCAAAGGCAAACAGCAGAGGATCACGAGTTCAGAAACGCATTTAAATCGGTAAAGGAAGAAGCACGCATCGTGCTTTCAACGTGGTTTTGGACGCAATATGTGAACAGTCCTATGAAGGTTTAACCTGAGACATACAGTACAGGCACTGATCTATAATAGACAAATGATTACAAGCCGCATGGGGTAATTACACCTTCTAACACACAATTAAACGCATATTGTGCAAACTACACAAAACGAGGCGACAATTTTAATTACACATACATGTTATGATCTGGAGAAAGAAGAAACCGGTCCATATGAACTGAAACAGTTACTGACAAAGTCCCTGTCAAAGTCCCATACATAATAGCCTCTGCTGCTTCTTTCTTTAATAGCAGCCGACAATTACCGTGTTGCAGCGTAGGTTATTGTATCAATCATCAGAAAATGACAGGAACAAACAGCACACTATACTGTGGTGTTGTTGTAACAGTGAACTTAAACTGTCAGTGATAGTCATCTTCACGTCATGATCAGTCCTGTAATCCCCCGTGGGTGCTCTGCTAGTGCCTAAAGGGAAAGCGCTTTCACATTTTACAGAATCTGGAACTACATATTTGGTGATGTACTGTAACGACGTTGACACGTTCATGCAAAAGATTCCGAACCCAACTTGATTCATACATTCGACTCGGAGTCGACTATTTCGTTAACGAATCAATAGTTTTAAACACTGTGCACTTTCAGATTTAGACCTCAGCTGGATGTTTTCATTCACTGGAAGCTCATTTTCAAAAACCCATAACAGGGGCTCTTTAATAAATAAGATTTCTTTTGATTTATGGTTTGTTAGGATAGGACAATATTTGACAGATATACAAAAATGTCAAAAATAAGCAATCTGGGGGTTTAAAAATAAATTAAATATTAAATCTAAATATTGAGAAAACCACCTGTAAAGTTGTCCAAATGGCATTTTTAGCAATGCATATTGATAATAAATAATAGGTTTTGATAGATTTACAGAAGGAAATTTACAACATGATTTTATTGTAGATGATCTTTACTTACTTTTCAAATAATTTTTGCCATAAAATAAAAATCAATAAGTTTGCTGATGTATTATTGGCTATTGCCAAAAATACACTTGTGACAAATGAGACCAGTGTTGTAGTCCAGGGTTACATATAATACCCCTATATCAGCCTTAGGGTGTGTTCACAATTAGCAGGTTCGATTAAAATAACCTCATTCATTCATTAATTTTCTTTTCGGCTTAGTTTCTTTATTACTATTTTCACCTATAGCGCATGTCTTTGGATTGTGGTGGAAACCAGAGCACTGGGAGGAAACCCACACCAACACAGGGAGAACATGCAAACTCCAGAAAGACATGCCAACTGACCCAGCCGAGGCTTGAACCAGTGACCTTTATGTTATGAAGCGACAGCTCTACCCATTGCGCCACCGTGCCACCCTAAAATAATCTATGGAGTTATTACTCTGTTAGTGTGCATGATTCATTAAGATAGGTGGGAGTCCTGCTATTCTAAGACCTTGTGCACGCCAAGTATATACACCAAGACCTGCATAATGATGGGTCTTGTTCTGCTTACAAACAAGCTCAACTCAACAGAAATATGAATTATGCAACATGGACCAATAATAAAAACAGCATGTGACAGTGTGCTCAAGCATAGCTGTTTTTTTTCTTTCATAAGAGCTATGTTACCTGTTACAATTCAGTAAAGGCATGTTTGTGCACAACCAAGGAATTTATGCTTTATATGGAGTCTTTAAGTCTTAAGCTGATAAAACTACAATCACATGTAGCACAAATGAGTGGATTTATCTCAGCATATAACATTGTTTAGGATGACCTGCAAGTTCCATTACAAAATATGCATTGACCAAAGCCATTTCAGGTTTAGGTTTGGTTTTAAATTTGTATCCTTTGCAGTTTGTGGTTTGGCGCAAAAGAACTGAACAATAATTGTGAACACATCCTTAGATGTACAGGAGCAAAAATATATAGAAAAACCGCTTTGCGTACCTGGTAGAGGTGTGTAGGTGAAATGCTGAGGTTGACTGCGCTTCCGTTTCCCATTTATTACATAGAAATTGACCTTGACAGCATGGCAAATGGACGGATCTCTATATGGAGGAACCTCAATGAACAGCATGCTCTGTGAATGAGATAATTGTTTATTTGCAGCATCTACAGTCACTTTTCAGGAGGAGAACTAAATATAGACCTTCAGGAAGTGCAAGCGTTGGCATAACGCATGCTTTATACTTACTGCTTGACTTTTGTCTTTGTCAACTGTTGCTTCCAGTTCCCAAATTTGCTGTCCATCTGGAAACAGAAAGAGAGAAAAGTTGAATACACATAATTAAAGTAATGCATATTCCAAAGCTCTCATTATTCATCAGTAAATGACTGATCTACTGCTTCTCAATGGTAAGTGCACATGAACTGGAAGCTGCGACCATTTTTTTTCCCATATTGTGATTCAGTTCCCAGAGAAACGGAGTATTAAATGAGAAAACAGTGGTCTTTTCTACGGCAAGCTGATTGGATGTAGTAAATCTTTCATTTAGAAAGATCGGACAAAAATGTTTTGGGGAGAGTTATTACCACCTAACAGACTCCTCCTGCTCACCATTTCTGTTTGTTGTAAAACTGACAGCTGGAGGGGCGTGGTTAAGTTTGTCAGCCACGCCCACTACCTCGGACAGACCTAACCTGTTTCTCAATGTGCGTTTTTCAGCAATCTTGCGCCCTTGTGTTCTCGTGTAATATCATCATCAACTGCCAAAGTTCAGTTCCAATACTCAAAAGTGCAAGAATGGAGGATGCGTGAAATTTACCGGATGTGTTCTTGATATAGAGGACGCATGGATGCAGACTTGAGCACCAAACACCGAAAAGTTCAGAGATATAACTTAAAAAAAGTTTTTGAAAAGGGGAAAAACAATAAATTGTTGTATGAACGCTTTAATGTTTAAATTATTTTCCATTAAAAATGCATAAAGGTCATGTGATCATCAGGAAGAACGCAACATCTCAATTCTCAGAGGACACACTCTCTGTTCTCGTGATCTCCTGAGTTCGTTTTTCCGAGGAGACTTGGCAAGACCGGTCTTCACAAGAACACAAGTCCGTTCTCTGCGTTCTTGGAATTGAGAAACAGCCCTAATCTGACAATTAAACTGAAAACAAACAGGAAATGCATTTTCAGATTTCAATTAAAGGTTCAGGACACAGTGGAGAACTTTTTTTTTTTATATTAACAGATTTGTGTGTGTTGAACATCAGTTAAGACAATGTTAGCACCTGTCAGCTTTAATTGTGGGGAAAACTGGATAATTTTGAGCTTTTGTCAGCTAATTTCAGCTACAGGGTTTAAAATGATTTTTGGGGCGGGATCAAAATCGGCGACGTAGCGCAGTACTGCAAGTGCAATGATGACGCGTCGGTTTCTCATTATTATTCATAGCGGAGTTTCTTATCCTATGAGAAGAGCCGGCTGCTTAATTAATCATGAGACCTGCCAGACCTGCCAGAGTCAAGCCCGAGCTGTGAGACACGGAAATCACGGCACACAGAATTTAGCTGTTCATGAAGGCTCATATGTGTTTGTTTCCATGATCCATGGGGTTTGTTGCATGTTTTCCCCCGCGATCTTGTCAGGGCCGATCATACAGCAAAGCTGTGTGTGTGCTGCTAGCATTTTTGTCGGGAGAGCAGCACGAGAATTAGAGAATGGCGGACGCTGTCTTTTATCAGGAGTTCGTTCACATTCAGACACATCGCCGTGCTGCTGTGTTTGCCTAAATCCTCCAGATTACCAGCAGGGCTAATGGTTAAAATAGACAGGTCAGGAGACAGGTCAGACTCTACTACCGGAGAGTCTGCTGGATACGGGGATTGAGGGAGAAGTCCTCATTTATAGGGTTTACATAAACACACTTATCTTTATAATGATATAAATTGTGGTTATGTGTATATGAAATTACGAATAACAAATGTAGCAGGGCATTAAATCACTGTTCATTTCTTTGCATTTTAACTTTGTAAACTATAAACTCATGCTTCTCCTCACGGTTTGTCTCATTTTGTGAACTGACAACAATAGTTGTTCGCTCACGTTCTCTCCTGCTGGCTATGCCCACTCCTGCCCGTTGCTCGTGGAGCTCCACACCCATTAATCATGCATCTTTTGAAAAAATTCCGAAGTAGACTTTAACCGAAAGTGTGTGTGGGGGGGGTGTCATGGCCCTTTAAAGATTACAATGACAATTAATTTATTTCTTAATGACATTAAAGTCATGAGAGAAAAAAAAATTGTATTGTGTTCAATATTTGTTTTCCATATAGAAACACAGGAAAACATTAATGTAATGTCCTAAAAAAATATGACTTGAAAGCCACGTATTTCATGAGTTTATATTTCAAATTGGATTAAGATAGCATGCAAAATGAGATTACTGTGAAGTTTTCCGAGGCTATGTCGATGTCCTTCTCTCCCTCACCGTCAGATGCACTTTCTCAAAAATGATCTTTCCAAGCTAAAACAGCAACAGTTGCTGAATGATTTGGTCTAATATCTTTGGAAAGAAGACACTCTGGGCTTTGTTATCCATCATTTAGAGTTTATAATGCTCAAAATGAAAAATAAAAGTTATTGATGCTTAAGTAATGTCAAAAAATTGCACCTCACTAAACATGTTATTATTTCATTAAAAAATATGTTAAATTTGTACAGGAGCAACACAGAAAAGCAATAGATCAAAAGCTACACATCTCCTGAGTATATGTTTTGAATTTGATGCCAATATCATGCAAAATGACATTTCTGGAATTATTTTCTGAGACAATGTCTTGTGATTTTCTCCCTCTCCTTGTTTGTGAAGCAGTCTGATGACCACACGTACTGAAGGTTTCACATACCACATTCATTTTTAAATTGTAAAATAATAAGCAGAAACGTATGGTATGAATGATTTATTTGAGCACAAGTAGTGCATTTTGTGAAATAAGTCCAGTGCTTATGCAACAATTATTTTTATTATTATTATTATTTGAGATCAAAGTTGCATCATGCTTGTGAGTAAAGTCAAAGTTCTTCCTTTAGCTGTTTGGGGAAATACAGGATTGGCCAAGCAGCTTTGTGATTGCATTGATTTGACCTTTCTCGCTGGTACACAATGCTTCATAATGACTCAACTCTGTTTTGACAGCTAAAGTGGGTGACGAGTTGTGGGTTTGTCTGTCATATGCATAGATCATAGGGCAGTTAAATAATTCCTCGCCTACAGACTGGTTCCCATACCATAGAGGTTGCATGCGGCACAAGTCATGCTACATTTGTACCACACGCTCACTTCCTCATATATCACTGCTGATGTCAAGACAGTCAAAACACAATACGGGCTGAAATCGTCGAAAGAAAAAGTGCTCAAATTCATGCCAACCATCGAGGACAACACATGCACTAAATACACAAATACACTTCATTAAACATGTACACATAGACATCACCTAAATGCTATGAAATTGAAGGATAGCTATGTCTCTATATAATAACGTATATTTGATCATAACTTATTTTGACTGTAATAGAACAATGTGCACCTTTTGTTAAGCTGCTTTGAAACTAAGGCCCAATTCTATTTTTGTACCCCTACCTCTTCCCCTTGGCCCTTAAAACCGAGTGTGAAGGGGAAGGGCTTCAAATTTACCCCTAAGAAATGGTACAGCACTTCAGCACCTGCACACGTCATCATATGTCATTGTGAGCTCTTGCTTCACATGAGATCAGACGATGGCGACTGCTGTAATTGTTCTAGTACTACTATCTGTTTTTAGCCTTATTTCAATCATTCATACATACATTAATTTTCCTTCGGCTTAGTCCCTTATTTATCAGGGGGTCACCACAGTGGAGAGAACCACCAAATATTTCAGCATATACTGGGTAACACATACACTAACATTTACACACACACACGCACTCATACACAACAGGCAATTTTGTTTACCCAATTCACTTATAGCGCATGTCTTTGGACTGTGAGGGAAACCAGAGCACCTGGAGAAAACCTATGCCAACACAGGGAGAACATCTAAACACAGAAATGCTAACTGCCCCAGCCGGGACTCGAACCGGCAACCTTCTTGATGTGAGGTGACAGTGCTAACCATATAAAAATATAAACAGGGGGGCTAATAATTCTGACTACAACTGTATAAGCTGCTTGCATAGTGATGTACACTTGGCGTTATCTGACTTTAACATATTATTCAAACTGAAAACCCCCCACAAATATGCCAACATTTCTCCAGTGCGCCCAAAATCTCAGTGGGTTAAACCAAATGATTATGAATTGTGCATCTCTAAAACCAGAGTTACATAACAGTTCACGTTGCAGTCATTCATACACAAATTCAAAAACCATAGTGATACAAATAAACAGCATGTAGCAGAAAATATCTTTAAACCAAAGCAGAAAGTAGAATTCCTACTGAATTAGTCATTAAACCAGGAACGATTTAGCTCCGTATCGCAGCAGCATGTGGGAAACCCCTCGTTGGGCTGCAAACGAGAGACGTGCGGCTCAAATGAGTCAGCATTGTGGAGGGGGATTCCATACGCAGAGGACAACATATTAAAACTTGCTTTATGATCAAACTGCTCCGCTTTCACCCTCGACAGGTGATGAGAGCTTCTTCCTTGGCCGTTCTGTTTGTTTGCAGTTTGTTCCAAAGCTCCTTGTTCAGGATGCCTTTTTTCTTTTTTCTTGTAATTAGCCAAAGAAACGTTGAGAGTGGAAGCCCAGCTCGGCATGAGGAGCAAAATCAACAAGAGCCAGCAAATCTGAGCCAAAGACAGCTGTCTCCCATTTTAGAGGGATTTCACAGTCTTGAATGCCCAGAACGCTCTGTCAGGAGGAGAAACCCTCCATAGCTAAAACAAAACTTGCTTCTATTCTTCTGTTTTTAGCTTTTATAGCAGCAATGCAATTGGCAGTTGCATACAAAGGGCTCAAACAATGTGCATTATTAAATTAAAGTAAATAACTTCAAAATATAATTGTTGTTATTTTTCTTCTTCTTTTACTTCTACTAAGACTACTACTACTAAAGCTTCATTCACACTACAAGCGACTCGCAGTGGCAAAGCGACCGTTCATTTCAACAGAGAGCAAGCGACTTCCAGCAACCTCCGTATACGCGAGTGACAGCGACCGTGTCGAGCAGCGTGGACAGTGTGGGCGTGTCGAGCGACGCGACAAAGTTGAGAATCCTTCAACTTTATGCAAATGAAGAGTGACTTTCTTGAGTAAAATCGA